TTCAGAAATTAAGTTATGTGTAATAAAATGGAATGACACAGGGAAAAATTATTGAACACATGAAGAAAGGGAGGTGCAAAAAGGCATGGAAAGCCAAGACACCAGCTGAAATCTATCAGTAATTAGAAAGCAATCCTGCCCCTAGTCAGTGGAAATTAATATTAGCTGCTTCCGTCCCAATACCTACAGTACCAGGATGATGAAGATGAAACAAGGGTGGATATTTTAGCAAGACAATGATCCCAAACACATCCAAGAAAACTCTCGATTAGTTTCAGAGAAACAAATAAAGCTGCTAGAATGCCACATCAAAGTTTGATGTCACCTGACTTGAATCCAATAGAAAATAAGAACTAAAGATCAGAGTTCAAAGAAGAGGCCCGCAGAACCTTCAAGATTTGAAGACTGTTTGTGTGAAAGAATGGGCCAAAATCACACCTGAGCAATGCATGCGATTAGTTTCTCCATACAGGAGGCGTCTTGAAGCTGTCATTACCAACAAAGGCTTTTGTACAAAGTAATAAATACATTTTAGTATGCGTGTTCAATACTTTTTCCCTGCGTCATTCCATTTTATTACACATAACTTAATTTCTGAACTTATTTGTTTTGTTTTCTTTGTATGTATGGATTACTTTGGTTGTTACTGACATCTGGTGAAAATGTCATGCCAACAGCATCTTTAGAAATATATTTACTGAGGAAAAATGATGACATGTTCAATACTTATTTTACCCGCTGTATACTCAGACATGTAATTTCTCCCATTTAATAAATTCTGTTCTTTTGAAACTTTCTCTTCATTAAAGAATCCTGAAAAAATGTATCATGGTTTCCACTAAAAATATTAAGCAGCACAACTGTTGAGCAGCAAATCAGCATATTAGATGATCTCATGACACTGAAGGGAAATTCAGCTTTGCCATCACAGAAATAAATTACATTTTAAAATATATTAAATGGAAGCAGGGCATATTTTTTTCATATATATTTCCTCTCTTTTTTTTCTCATTTATTGTCATCTACATGAATTTGCAATGTAACCGTTGATGGACTGTCCAGCTCAATTCATTCCAAAGATTTTTTGAATATTTCAGTCAGGACTCGGCCACTCATGGACACTGTCCTTCCTGTCATTCAGCCACTATTCACTCTGTTGGCATTGTGCTATGGGATGCTGTCACGCTGAAAGCTTAACAGTCTACCTATGTTCAACTTCCTGGCTGAGACTGCGGCTTTTCATCAAGATTTTGCACCATCCATCTTCTTTTCTTTACTGACAAGAGCACCAATCCAAGGAAATGGGAAAAATGTCTACAAAAAGGACACATTTACCCCAGTGCTGTAGCTGCAGTTGCAGTAATGGTCTACGGCAAGTCCCCACAGGGTCCCCACACTAAAAGATATCAACATACTTCCCCAGTTGATTAATCACAGTAAATTAAGACAACTGTTCTATTACAAGCTTTCTGAAATGTTATGTTTAAATATGCAAATAATAGATTATGTACTGAAAAATGCACTAATTTGTAGGGCTGGGTTTTGACACAGATTTCACGATTCCATTCGATTCTCATTCACAAGCTTGCGATTCGATTTGATTACCGATTCGATTCAATATCGATTATTTTGGATATATATCAGGTACAGTACATGCCAAATTTTCTCAAGGAACAAAAATATCTAAACTAATACTGTAAAATATACGAGTCAGTTGGTACTACATTACTATAATATTGAAGGTTAAACATTTTTACAATAATAAAGTTATAGTTACATAATAATATTTCTACTTCAGTTAGTTTTTTTTTAAATATAAACATTTAAATGGTGGATGTCATAAAAACTTGATGGATTTATACAAACATAAATGAAACACTGAAGAACAGTAAAAAATTATAATGAATACGTTATATGGTGCATATATTAAGCAAAATGCCCCTCTCTACAGTTTATTATTCTTAAAAATGAGAATCGATTAATATCGAGATATCGATATTTTTTTACCAAGCCAAAATAAATTATTTTGTTGTTGTTGACATATTAGAGTTAAAAGGTTTTACACAGGGGATTTTGGATATCTTTTTTTATCACTTCATAAATCAGAAAATTCTGTCAACAGCCAAGAATAAAATGTTATGTAACAACCTTCGGAATATAAACAGGAATAAAACTGGAAAGTTTGATAAAGCGTTACTTAAGATATTTTTATTGTTGTGATAATTTTATTCTCAGTTTGGATTTCTGTATCCACTGTAGTATTGCAGATTGTGCATAAATAAAGGTTCCAAAAAATGTCTTCAGTGATCAGTTCTTAAAACAACTCTTTTTTTCTTAGCCTGAAGAGCATTTTAATAACCTAAAGAACCATTTTCTACAATAAGGAACCTTTTGTGGAATGGAAAGATTCCATTGGTGTTCTTTATTGAACCACAGATGCCAATAAAAATTTTACTTTTAGTGTAGCGAGCTGTTATGATGCAATAGCAGTATAGTTCTTTGGTATGCATACTCACGTTTGCAGTCGTAGCCCACACCTCTGTAGTCGTCCTTACACTTGCACTTATATGAACCAGGTGTGTTATAGCAGGTGGCGTATGGACTACACTGGTGTTGAGTTGAAGAGCATTCATTCACATCTAAAATAAATAAATAAAAAATTAACGCAGGAAGTCACTGGCTCTGTTCTAAAACCTAGTGAGCTACAATCAAAAGTTTGGAGTTAGCAAGATTTTTTAAATGTTTCTCAATGGAGTCTCTTATGTTCACCATTTATCTGATCAAAAATACAAAAAAAAGTAATATTGTGAGCTATTATTATGCCAGAGGAATGGTATTGCAAAAATACAAAATGGTATTGTCTGAATTTCACAATAAAATGTTGACAATTTGAACACTTATGAGACATTGCAAAAAAGAAGCTTACTGTGATTAGAGCATGCCAGGTGCGTTTTTGTTCAGACATCAACTGAAAACAGCATAGACTAAAACCTCATCCTTGGGATGTAACCAATCATCAAAATGAAGATTGATTCAAATCAAGAAGTTGATATTGTTATCCAGCACTACTGTTGTAGTTTATGCACAGTGTGTGCATGAAATAGACACTGACCCTAGGAGAAGCACTGTAAACTTACTTCATTGTTTTTTCCTTTTTTGCTATTTCAGACAAATATTTGCAGTTGTCAAAATTTTGATGCATGACTACTTGGTACTAATTGGTTAAGAACAGCTCTTTTGATCATCTAAAACAAGACAATAACACACCATTTCTGAATTTGTCACTTTATTTTAAGGTTCAATTCTTGCTATTAACAAACCATTACCTATGAATAATAGGCATGCTAATAAGCAACTAGTTAATAGTTAATAGTGCGAACCGATCCTTGTACTTAAAGAGCATGTATCCTTGTCTGTGAAGGATACATGCAATAATTTCTTACAACTAGCTAATGTAAGGTCGCCAATGCATTTTGCCCACTTTTTGAAAGCAAACCTATGAGACCAGAAAATGCCTCTTACAGGCAACTCACTAAGTTTTGGAACAGAGCGAACTTGTTATCTATTTATAAAACTGAAAAACGTGAAATGTTGTTTAAAACAATTGCCGCTGTATTATTTCAAACCTGAACTTGGCACAAATCATCTGCTGTTGGCAGGAATGTGACTATAGTGTACAAAGATTTTTTAAGAGATAAGTTCCAGACAAAAGCAAAGCTTTCAGTATTTCAGAATCTTCAAATCAAAATATGACTACTAATTCACATTGTTTGAAAGGTTTTTAGCTCCTCTGTATTTACTCAAACCGGCTCACCTGCGCACTGATATTTCCCGTTGATGTACTGCAGGTCGAAGCCATCATGGCACTTGCAGATGTAACTCCCAAATGTGTTGATGCACTTACGGAACCGCGGACAAACCGCTTGACCTGTGGCACATTCATCCACATCTGCAAAACAAACACACCGATCTGTCGTTTCTCCACTCTTTTACAAGCTCTTTGGGTTTTTGGATCAAAGTGAATTAAAGTCTGGTTCTTGAGGTTTTTACTGTTATTCATGATCTGTCAATGTATATGTTGCGTACTGCTGTTGGAGATGTTGACTGGCTCTCTGTACATTACTCTTTATATATATACTTTAATATTTTTGTGTTGGCATATGCTGCATTTACGGTTTAGCTAAATTGCGATATGCATCAAGCGGCGTGTGAACGCTCTGCAGGAGTCTGAGAACAGCGTGCAGCAAACTCGACACTTTTGTGTGCGTGTACAGACATCCATCTAACACGAGCTGCCCTCCTCGGAGCAATAAAAGTCCTCTGCTGAAATACCTGAAGAGTTGAACACCTGTGCTGTGAAACATTAAGATGGTCAGTCTCTGATTGATGGTCCTCTTTTAAAAAACTCACACTGTTCTCCTCATAGCCTCCAGAAAAAGGCAGAAAGGTGGGAAAAATGTAAAGAGTGGAGGCTAGACATATGTGTGTGCAGAAGTGCTGCAGGTTAACGGACTCAATTTGTCGCATTCCGTTTGTGATTTAGTGAACTGTGTGGCTAGGATGTGAATATGGGCTTCTTAAAGATGTTTATGTAAGATGTGGTCTCTGAGACTATGGCATGCCATTAATGCAGTCATTAACGAATACCACAATGAAATTTCCAAGCACTTAAAGCATAATTACCGGATCTAAAGACAGAAGCTCAGCTCTGTTGTCAAGGACTATTGCGATCTTTAAGGTTTTGGAGCAGGAACGTAGCCGTGAATGAAAGCGACTGTTTTGTGTGATACGAACGTAATAGCAAAATGTTGTCATCTTGTCTGACAGCCACAACAGAAAAAGTCTAGATCATGTCACATATTCAAAAGTTGACAAGAGTACAAAGAGATTGCACTCTATTTTCTTCTGAATTAAAGGGGTCATATCATTTTTATTATTGTTAATATATTATTAAGTCTTAATACTTAATATGTAGTTATGTATAATGATTATGTAAAAATACATAATAATATATAATAATTACATTAAATCTACCATTAAGACATTTTATTATATGTAACAATTATATAATATTTTATATTACTATTATTATGCAAAATGTATCATATTTGTTGACATTTTTTTCTTAATGAATGCCATTGCTAGTGTCATTGCTAATGTTAACAGTTGGAGAATTGAAAAATGATAAATAATAAATAATTAATAATAAATACTAATAAATGAAGAGCTGAAAGAGTAATGTTAATTTATAAATTAATCATTTATAAATAATATATAATATATATGAAATTTATATATCATCTATAGTGCTGTCAAACGATTAATCGCGATTAATCGCATCCAAAATAAAAGGTTTTGTTTACATAGTATATGTGTGTATTGTGTATATTTATTATGTATATACAAATACACACCCATGCATGTATATATTTCAGAAGAATATGTTACGATTATATATTAAATATATTTATATAAAATGCAAATTATATGAATATAAATATATAAAAAAATATATATATTATAATATATATATCAAAATATATACTGTATGTGTGTGTATTTTTATATATCCATAATACATATACACAGTACACACAGATATATTATGTAAATAAAAACTTTTATTCGGAATGTGATTAATCGCGATTAATCGTTTGACAGCACTAATAATTTATAAAAATTGTACGTATTATCTACTATTTATACAGTTAAATGACACTTTTTATTGACAGCTAATTTATTGGCACTTTTAATGATTTAAAGAGATGATTCTTTTGAACTGGGGGTTTACCGACAAAATAAGAGTGAATGTTATTTCTAAAGCTCAAGGAAACTTTCCCATTTAAAGCAGTGAATTGTGATCAGCTGCTGCAGAAATGCATTAGCCATGAACACATACCCACACAGGTCCTGCCATCTGGAGCCAGCTGTAGACCTGGAGAAGGGCACTGGCAGCGAACTTCTCCTTTCATTACCTCACAGCCGTACTGGCAGTTCGCCACGCTGCATGTCCGGGCATCTGACAGAAACATACCGACAGCAGATTTAGCACTTACCATACATTCACATACTTCTGCCACTTTCAGTACAACACAGAACCGCTTACTGTAAGTATAAAAGACATATGAAAAGCAAAATGCACCTATAGATGTTCCATAAGCAGCCAAGCAAATGAGCATAGACAAAAGATGAATCACCATTAAATGGGGCGCAAGGCCACAGGTCAGAGAAGGGAACACACTATTCCACGTTTAGCTTCATTGCCTTGAAGGAAATGGGCAGTGAAGCAGATAACCTTGTGTTATTAGATTGTGCAGTGATCTATTAGCCCTGCGGAGAAACACCACTCCACATTCTCTACTGGTGTCGAGGGGGTCGTCACAGTACAACCCATTTCCACGAGACAGCGAGGTAAAAAACACTCTAGAGAAAAGGAGATGGCACATTGTTCCTGCTAATGCAGGTGGAAAAACAAAAATAAAACTCAATTATTCCCTAAAGTCTTGGAGGAAACGAAATGAGAAGGGAATGGATGGATGCGTTACAAAATCTCTAAACTCTCTTGTGTACTCTAGTAATAGATCAATATATACTGGGCCAGGATGAAATATCTCAAATAAAAAATAATATTAAAGTGCCATTATAATGGCAGTCTGAAGTGAGTTTTGAGTAAATGATGCTTTTAATTAATGTTTGACATTTATTTTAAGCAACATTTACTCAAAACTCGCATTAGACTGCCATTATAATGGCATTTCATTATTATTATTATTATTATTTGTATTTTATTTTTGATATTTCATCCTGGTCCAGTATATATTGATCTATACATATATTATATATTCTCAGCATCTTTGTTTATTTCTTGAACAATTATGATGATGATGATAATAATAACAATAACAATAATAATAATTATTATTATTAATTTATATTCTAAAATATATTAATATTTTCTAAATGTATTTTTATGAATAATTATTTTTTATTGTTCATACTATGTTTTATTTTTATGTTGTTATTATTATAATTATGAATTTGTATTCTAAACTATATGAATATTTTCTAAATGTATTTTTATTAATAATTATTTTTTATTGTTCATACTATGTTTTATTTTTGTTATTATTATTATTATTTTGAATTTGTATTCTAAAATATATATTTTCTAAATGTATTTTTATTAATAATTATTTTTCATTGTTCATACCATGCTTTATTTTTATGTTGTTGTTGTTATTATTATTATTATTATGAATTTATATTCTAAAATATATGAATATTTTCTAAATGTATTTTTATTAATAATTATTTTTCATTGTTCATACCATGTTTTATTTTTATGCTATTATTATTATTATTACAAATTAATGTTTTCTAAATATATTTTTATTAATAATTATTTTCCATTGCAGGTGGAATAACATGCTTTATTTTTTATAATTTACTATTATTATTATTATTATTGTTGTTGTTGTTGTTGTCATTATCATTATTATTATTTTATATTATAAAATAAATCAATATTTTCTCAATTTATTTTTATTAATTATTTTTCATTGTAGGTGGAATACTGTTTTATTTTTTATAATTTATTATTATTATTATTATTGAGTTTATTTAAAACAATAATTTGAATAATAACTAAAATAATACTAATTAAAAAATAAGTTGAATTTACAAGTCAGCATATTTGACACTTTTATGGCATTGAGTGCTGGTGCCAATTTCAAAAGAGATTATTATTATTTTTTTTCATCTAATGACATGAAGTTATGAATAATTTGAGCCAGGCACGTAGACCCGTTCAGACTCTTTATCAGACAGGCACCCAACCTTTCCAAACTATGCAATAATCTGCGATCCAAGCATTGACAATCACTGTACCACCCACATGACAGGAGCGCTCCACACTTTGATTAACTCTGTGATTCAGTGGTGTTTGCTGAAGTGTGAGCTGTGGGGAGGTGAGAAAATATTTATCAGAGAGTGGAATCTCCAGGCCTCTGGAAGCACATTAAGCACCGGGCAAGCACAGGCACGGGCCACTTGCTGTAGTGAGAATCGCTTGAGGCCAGCAATAAGACTTAGCCTTTACTGGCAGGGTTGAAGTTCACAGCTTTCTCATCTTTTTTTGTGAGTCATCTGAAAACTCTCTGCAGGGCTGAGAGACGCCCTGAGCTCATAGAATGATTTGTGTAAGATAGATAGATAGATAGATAGATAGATATATAGATAGATAGATGGATAGATGGATAGATAGATAGATAGATAGATGGATAGATGGATAGATTGATGGATGGATGGATGGATGGATAGATGATAGATAGATGGATAGATATATAATAAAATCCAGGAAAGAAAATAGTGATTTTCGTTTTACAGGAAAAAAATAAATAAAACCTTTTAAATGCATATTTCTAAAATCAAATCAAACCAAGTTAAATCAAATAATTCTGCTTATGTTTTCCTCTCTAAAAAACTGTAAAAATAAAACTATTTATAACAAGCAAAATCTTATGCTGTATACATTATGTGGTTTTGCATTGTCTGATTATCTGATTTATTAACTATAAAAATAGAATTTTGCAGCAAGCATAATTTTATGCTGTAAGCAATACACATATTTTGCATTATCTAGTTATCTGATTTGTGTATTGGAGAAAAAAATATATATATTCAGGAAGACAGTACTGCTCTTTGTTCTCTCCTCTAAATGAAACTATAAAAATAGAACCTTTTTTAACAAGAATAGTTTTTTTTTTCCTACAGGGAAAAAAATGCAACATTTTAAATGCATATATGAAAAAAAAATTTTTTTTTAAATACAATAAAATAAAAAGTAGAATATATAAAATAATTTTAGTATATAAAAGTCAGAAGACAATACTGCTTTTTGTTCTCTTCTTCTCTAATGAAATTTTATGTTGTATGCACTATACAATTTTTGCACTTCACAATTTTTTCTTTGTAAAGCTGTTTTGGAACAACTTGCTGAAAAGCCAGTGGAAATCTAGCTTGTAGAAACAGTATACACACATTGCGGTTCTCCCTGCTGGGCAGCACTATCATACGTTTCAAGCAGAGCACTGAAGAGCTATTGAACGAGGCGGCGATTGACACAGCTGGACACCACGTCCAAAACAACGAGATGTGACTCACTTCCACAGCTCCCATCAGGCAGCAGCATGTAGCCGTTTAGGCAGTAGCATTTGTAGCTCCCGTACGTGTTCATGCACCTGTGTTTACACGGCCGAGGCTTGAGGCCACACTCGTTCAAGTCTGCAGACAGAAGAACAGAGACGGGGAGGTTAGAACATCCTGGTGTGAGAGGGGAGGCCGAGCGGGGCAGCAATTAGGCTTAAACCAGAGGCCAAATCTGAAAGGTCAATCCTTTCAAACCTGTGAGGCGGCGTCTGCGGGAAGAAGGTGAAGCCGCAGGCCACCGTGTCTGGACAGGCCCACCTCAGCGTCTCACTCCACACCACACAAACCTGCACTTCAGCTTCCAACGCTCCGAGTCTGACTTTGAGTTTTGATACTGACGCACAGAGAGGGAACGGCTTGCAAAGCTCAACTACATACTAATTTCCTTGAATATTTAATAATATTCTAAACTGGGAAGCTGTTGACCTATTTCTAGACTTTGAAAACTATCCTTACTGCCATAGAGTCACAACTTTACTCATAACCATCTTTAAAACAAAACTTCAGGACAGCAGGCTGAGTGCCAGTGCAAGGTGGCAAATCAAAAATAGGGTAATAAATTCAAAAATCAATATAAAAATTTTAAAAAAGCAATTATCAATAAGTTTGACATCAAATCTGTCATCATTTCTTTTGCAATTGCTGAAAGTGTTATTTCTGTTAATTAACGCTAAAATGATAAAAAATGGTTTTCATAAAAAATAAATAAAAATAAAATGGAAATAAACGTTTCTTTGGCAGCTATCTGACATAAAATAAGTTGAAGTTAAAGTACTAAAATTACTAAAGTTTTAAATGAAATAAAAAAATTAAGTTAAAAGAAGACCTAAAAGAAATATAATAAAAATGAAGAAAAAAATTAAAACAAAATTACTAAAACTTTAACTAAAATGAAAGCAGAAAATATAACAATAAAAGATCATTTATATTATGAAATAATAATAATAATGTGCTGAATTGAAAAGTTTACAAAAATTCTAACATTTGAGACATTTTATAATTAAGGATAATTAATTAATTTAACTCAAATTAAAATGAAAGCAGAAAATATAACAATAAAAGAAAATTTATATTATTACATAATAATAATAATAATAATAATAATAATAATAATGTGCTGAACTGAAAGGTTTCCAAAAATTCCCAAATTTTTGACATTTTAAAATTAAGGATAATTAATGAATATCCAGAGTTTCTATATATTCTATTCTAACACAAAATTGTGTGCCATCGATAAAGCAAGATACAAAAAGCTGTGATTTTAATAAACAGTCAAAATAAATAAATTAGTTTATCAATTAGTTGAATTAAATTCATATATTTTAATAACTTGGTAAATGACTCTTTTATCTATTTATTCTCAACATTAAGTGATTGTTTAATTGTTTATCCACTTCTCAAATAACTACTGAGTAGCACAAAAATAGCCCTCATTTGTTAATAGCTCAAAAAAATTAATAAATGAATTCAAGAGATTTTTATTTTACCAGGGCAAAGCAACACTTTGGGTATTGCACAAGGGTTGGCTATAGTTTAATCCGAACTCAACCTAAAGTCTAGGCCAGATGGGTCATCAGCTATAGGCTACACATCACTTAGATCTCAATATTGTAAGGTACACAGTCAAGTTTATAGGCCAGACACGTAGCGTGATGCCTGCAGTCTCATTTGCACTGGACTGAAAATAGATTCTCCTGGCTGCCGTACATGAGCGTCTTTGGCATGGCCCAGTTCTGAGAGAATGGCGCCATCTTTAGCGGCGGGTTATGCAGGGAATGCATTCTAGCGATCTATATTTGACAGCTGCCACAGATTTAAATAGATGAATGGCACAGTGTATTAATGGTAATTGGCACCGGTGGGAGGTCAGTCCGCTGGAATGATTAGTCGAGGTGGGTGTGGACAGCTACAATCACTTCCCAAATCATCTTAGCAAGAGTCGTCTATTATATTCCAAACAAAGACGACATAAATCTCTCCGTTTCAAAGTTGTGGGCCGAGTCTTTAACACCTTTTCAAACCGTATGACATTTCTTTGCAAGCACACAGCTCCGAGCCGCTGAAGCTATGATTACACACTCAGACTGAATTTAAATTCACAATTAGGCAGCAATTTCATGATGATTGGGGACATAATTGACTAACGCTGACCTTGCGTGACACAGTCTTTTCTTGTGGATTTCATCTGGCCATTTGCAACACTTTGTTGTTAATAGAAACAAGTAGAAAATGCGACTATTGCAATTAATCATGGAATCATTCAATGATAAAATAAGATTAAAGTATTTAATATGAATGATTCTAATTCGTGATAAAATAATGTTGATATTAATATGAAAATATAGTTTAAAAAACGTTCACACATTTAAAATTCTCTCATCACTTTTGAACCCTCATGATGTTCCAAGCCATATTCTGCATATGCATAATAAATGGGGACAGGGATGTCAGGAAAACATAAAAATGATTCAAAGTCTTCCAAAACCATACAATAAATTTAGTTGAAACACTTGAAGGATTAGAAGTAAACCACACCGCTCCAGTTCATCAGTTAATGTCTTGTGAAGTGAAAAGCTGCATGTTTGTAAGAAACAAATACATCATTTGAGGGTGTCGCTAAAATACGCTAAAATACGAGTCCATAATCCATAACAACGCTTCCTACAATGAAAAAGTCCATCCTCTGTTGCTCTCTCACATCAAAATCCACCTACACATTTGTTTAGAACTGTTTTTGCTTGTAAATGGTTCTTGATTATGTGCATATTTCTCTCCTGATGCAGAGGAGATGACTTTTTCACTGGAGAAAGCAATGTTATGGATTGAGTGAAATATATTACCAACACTTCACAAGACATTAACTGATAGACTGGAGTGGTGTGGGTAACTTGTGGATTATTGTGATGCTTTTATCAGCTGTTTGGACTCTCATTCTGACGGCACCCATTCACTGCAGAGGATCCACTGGTGAACAAGTGATGTAATGCTAAATTTCTCCAAATCTGATTCAATGAAGAAACAAATTCATCTACATCTTGGATAGCCTGAGGGTAAATCAATTTTAAGCAAATTTTTGGTGAACGATTCCTTTAAACATCTGCGGTTATTTTTCATGAAGATGAGTTGGAATGAGGGAGAGTGAATGGTAATTTTAAGGTGAACTATCCCTTTAAGAAATAACTAGTATGCCTTTCCTAAAAACTAAATATATAATCAGACCTTACACACTATACCAAGTGATATCAAATCATCTGTAAAATCTCAGAACTGCATCTACTTCTTCACCTCTTCAAGTCTCAGTGGTTCAGGCAGTAACTCAACTCTCTGAGCAGCATGTAGACAAATTCAGCTCAGAAAGATGTTTAGAAAAACGAAGCAACCCGTGCTTCTGTCAAGCGAGGTGAAGAGGAGACTAAGCCATCACTGAAGACTCATTGGCCTTTTGCTCGCTCAAATAAAGCTGAAAACAGCAGAAATGAAATGTCACATTCCCAGAATAGCCGTACTTGACAAGAGACAGCTCTGAGCAGCAACACATAGTCAACTAACGATATGAAATAAAAAAATTAATTGTCCAGTCTGAAGGGAGAAAACGGAGGGTAGGAGGTGTGACGGTGTTGAAAACCCAGAACAGAGTAGCAGGTAGACGAAATAAGTTCACACCGTATGGAAAGTGTGACCACAGATTATTCTGAGTGCTGCACTTAAGAACAGTGAAGAAACATTATAAATTCATCTCTGAAAGAAAAATGAAGCAACTTGTGCTTCTGTCTAGAGAGGTGAAGAGGAGACTAACCCATCCCAGCAGACTCATTGGCCATTTGCTCACTCAAATAAAGCTGAAAACAGCAGAAATGAAATGTCACATTCCCAGAATAGCCGTACTTGACAAGAGACAGCTCTGAGCAGCAACACATAGTCAACTAACGATATGAAATAAAAAAATTAATTGTCCAGTCTGAAGGGAGAAAACGGAGGGTAGGAGGTGTGAAGGTGTTGAAAACCCAGAACAGAGAGCAGGTAGACGAAATAAGTTCACACCGTATGGAAAGTGTGACCGCAGCCTATTCTGAGTGCTGCACTTAAGAACAGTGAAGAAACATTATAAAACTGATTACAGAGATTATTCACGCCACCCTTAAAACATTTACCATGGTAACCAATGTGTCAGTCAGTTACAACAGTTATTGTTAATTCTGTAAAAGCAAAAACATATATTTTTAATTTTCTGAAGAAAATGTGGCATTAATTAATGTAAAAGTCAATTCTAGAATGTTCTGCATGGTTGTTAGGGTAATAATAATTATAATGATATATAATTATAAGTATAATTATATAATTGTAGTAGTAAACATCTGCTTTTTCCTAGTATTTTTTTATATTATTATTATTATTATTATTATACATATCAATTATATATATGCATTATGCACATAGATATAGTACTAATAAAAATATTAAATTCATATCATAAGATGCAAATTTTTGTCCCTCCCCATCAGTTTGTAGATTGTTGATATAATAATAATAATAATAATAATAATAATAACAATAATAATATTATACAAAGTATTCAGACCCCCTTAAATTTTTCACTCTTTGTTATATTGCAGCCATTTGCTAAAATCATTTAAGTTAATTTTTTTTCCTCATTAATGTACACACAGCACCCCATATTGACAGAAAAACACAGAATTGTTGAC